TGGGTCATTTTCGTACTTTCTATAATAATTAATAGTTTTATTATTCGCTTAATATCAAGAGAATATTTAATAAAAAACAAAATTGACATCAACGAAACTATATTTAAGTTCCTTTTACAATTAATAGAAATTTTATTTTTAATAAATCGAATCTTTTTTATTTCACAGAAAATATAGAATTGATTATAATCTATAAAAAAAAAAAAGATTTAATAATAGTATTTACCTGTACACTAAGTATAATAAAAAAAAAGCGTACAACATATAACAACAATATAACCAATTAGTCGTAATGATGAAAGTAATGTTTGTACAACAAGTTTAAGACCAGGTACTTGACTTATAACTATAAATAAACAAATAGTCAAATTAAAAATGTAGCAAGATCAATAATTGATGTAATAACAAGAGAACCATCCATAAGATTCCATCCACTAACGTAAATAGGTATGCAATCCAAATATAAATTCACTTACTATTACTTTTGCCGACATTTCTATTGTAAATATTATATTTGTTAAATTTATAAATTGTCGTTCCTAAAAAAAACAAAATATTTATTTCAATATTTTTTTCTTTAATGAAAAGAAACAAAAAAAAACGTTTGTTTCCATACAGGACTTGTTGTTGGAATCGATGGATGTTCCATAGCAAGTGTTATACAATTAAGAGCTATTATAAATAATATTAAATAATCAAAAAAAACATATCGATTTTCGTATTGTTTTATTACTAAATTGATTACCGATTTTCTGATGAAAAAAAAGATACAAAGTGAATAATTTTCTCGTTTTTCAAAATGTTTATATAATTGTTCTTCACATAAACAATTTAAACATAATCTTCGAATTAAAATTTCTTTCGGAGTCCATCTCTACAAATATTCATATTTAGTGATAAATATTTAGATGAAATAGGATGAGTTTAATATTATCGTCAATCAATATTAGCAACTTTATTTCAAAACATATTATCAATAGAATAGTTGTTCGAAAAAGAATATCAATTTCAACATTGATTAGGAGTTATTATTGACAAAGTTTTTTTAAGAAATGTCTGCAAAAAATTTCGATAAATAGTTTTAAAAAAAAAATATATACATTAAAAAAAAACTGAAATGACTCAATTTGATGATGAATATCTTTGAGTATTTTTCTTATGGATAGATTCATTGTTGTCTTAATATATTAAGGGCGATCCAAAAGTTTGTGGAAATTCGGTATATCTATTTGGGGAAACGATATACGATCCATCTTGCTATGTCATATACTCGAGATAATTGCTGTGATATTCCATAGGAGGTTTTATCCTTTTAACTTACTCTTTAGATATTCTTTCGAAGTAAACAATAGGTATTGAATTAGCCACCTTAGTTATTGTTTGAATTTCAACTAGTTTTTGAGTTCTCAAAAATTCGAAGAAGTTTCTAAGTGGCGAACAGATTTTATATGATACGATTAACGGTTATCAGATATTGATGTGCCATCGCAATATTGGATGAGAATCATTATCGAAACTTAGTTCAACGAAAGAAACTAGAGTCCTTCAAGTGACATTTATTATTAAGAATATCAAAAACAATAATATATGTCAATTATTTCATGAAAATTGACAAATGTAAAAGTTATCGAACAAAAACATATCATCATAATCAAGTTCGATCCACTTTTCATCATAGTGTTTTTGAGCAGCATGTATCATAATGCTATTATTTACTTAAAAGTGAGAGGAATTCAAGTAAGATTTGACAAGCGTAGTCATCTTAGACTAGACTTCCAGGCTCTTAGCTGTTGAAATACATTCCTGATAGACTAGATAGTCAACAGCTACAATAATTTAGCAAGGATTATAACCAAGGAGGTCAATTCAATATCTATTACTTACTTCGAAAGAATATCTAAACCTTTTTCGTAAATGAATACACCGAAGTTCTGGGAATTTTTGGGGTCACCCAGAAATGGGCACGGTCGGATTTTTCGAAAAATGAACTTAACTGAAATTTAAAGTAAGCTGAGAAATGCCTTGAAAAACTGTTTTTCGATGGGCTCGGTTCGTGTTTTCTTGAAATCGAACCGAACCGTGCTCATCTCTGGGGTCACTCTTAGTATATAAATCTACAACATATTTTCACTAGTTCCATTTTGTAATCCGTCCTCATTAATTAATATAATTAGCAATTAATCTTGATTAGTTAATTGAAAACTATTATTATATACTATCGAATATTTTAAAAAAATCTTTCGAGAATAAATCCAATTTGTTTTTCTAAATAATTAAATACATAAAATGAAAAAAAAATAAAATTGTTATATAGATGTGTAATACTAACTTGAAATAGAGTTTGATTATTATTAGTATTCAATAACTAATCGAAATGTTTTATCTAAATATTGATAAAAATCATGTTTAGATGTTTCATAAATACTTGTTATTTCAAATTGATTTAAACAACTATTTAAATTATCAAATGTTAATCGACGTCTTTTTTTTGATTTTCTCAATATTATATTTATCTTGTTCAATTAATTTTCTATCATTAATAATAAAAAGTCTTGTTAATGATGGTTGATATGGATTTGATGAATTCGTTTGTTTATGTTAATAATATGTTCAATGATTTGGATAACAAATAGTTGTAAATGAATTATTTTTAAGTGTTCATTGCGTATAACTTCTATGAATAGGTAATGAAGTTTCTGAAGATTATTTATCTATTGATTCAATACATGTATGAAAACTTTGTGTTGTTGATGATGATAATGATTGAAGTTGAGATGAACGAATTTTAATTATTGATTTATATGATGATGAATTATTTGAATTTGAACTTTTATTTAATTGATTTTCAACAATACGTAAACTTGAATCATTTTTATTACTTATTGCAATTTTTTTGTAGTATACTCATTATTTTTACTTCTTGAAATAACATTAAACTATTTTTTTTTTATTTAAATTTAGTTCGAGTATTTTTATTATTTTGACTTGTTTGTTTATGACTTTCTGTTTCATCACTAATTAAATCAATGTGAATTATCAGTTATATCAATATCAGCTGTAAATAATTCTTCTAACTTTGAATGGGTCAAATTTTCCATATCGATTTGAATCACTTCCAGTATCAAAATTATTACCCATTTTCTATTTAATTCAACAATTTAATTAATAGAAAAGAAAATGTTTTATTTCTTTTTCTTTTTTTTCGTTTACTTCTGTAGAGAAAATCCTTCAACAACAATAGCAACAAGTAAATTAAATAAAACATAATTTCCAAATGTCATAAATGCAATAAATTACAAAACTGTTCATACACTTGTATTTTTCATGCCATTGTAAAGTACTTCATTCCAATCTTCTTGAGTTAAAACCTATTTGAAAAATATTTTTTGCGAATCATTATCTTATGTGATTAACTGTGTTTTAAGCAAGCAGGCATATAGCAATAGATATATAGTGCAGAAAATTTAAGCAATGACTATACATATTTGTAAAGTGAGCAAACAAAATAAGAGATACAAAATTGTTTCCAATGAGAATTTATCGAAGAAGATCGTTCTCTATTATTTTCTTCGATGAAGTTTAATCGTTTTGTTGCTGTTTTTCTTTCTTTCTTATTAACTATTTAGAAAAAAGAAATGGTGAAACACCTTTGAAAATTTTCGAATCAGGCTGCTAAATAGGTTAAATTTGGTGTGCGAGGTAAAATAGTGTTAATATCATTCAAGGGAATAATGTCTAATGTAGGATAGTATTTGAGAAAAGCTACCTGATAAAAAGGTTAATAATGTAAAAGCTAATGAATTAAAATTTTTTCTCTGTTGTAAACAATAAAAATCTTTGAGATGAGTATCATTTTAAAAAAAATCATTTTGATAACATGTACAACATTTACATTTAATATGAATTTCTTTATGTGATGTTATATTAAATGCTTCTATTGAACAAAATTCATCACCAAATAAATGCATACCAAGAATATTATATAGACATATTTATCAATAATAACATTAAGAAGCAGAACAACAATTTAACTTTAGCATTTTTTTCTTTTAGAAAAGCATGAATAATTAAAAAATGAAGTAAATTTTACTTGAAAAACAGTTGAAATAACCCATAGATTCAAGACATTTGCTATGTTTTACTTCAATATATTTGCAATCAAAAAGATTCATACCCAATATACTGTAGAAGAGTTTTATTTTTATTCAAATATCTAAACACATTTTGTATTGTGTTTCGTTTTTTTTTCTTCTAAACTTACCTGAATATGAATATAAATAGAAGTAATAAAGCGAAAAACTGTAGTCACATTATTCATTGTTTTAAGCATGACAATCTATAGCGAAAAACAAAATCAATTAGATTTATTTATTAAAACTTTTTCTAAAGTTGAGATTAATATAAATTTATATATGAAAATTCTTTCTTAAACAATCATTTTCTGTCTTTTATGCACTTCTAAACATTGTGAAAATTCTTTCAAAATTATTGAAGATAGTTATTTAATAAACTATCATAAAAATGGAAAATAAGTATACTCAAATCAGATACCTGTCGGATGTGATAAGAGTTAAAACAAAAAATAAAATAGAATCGATTAGTTGAATATGACATTTCTATTAAAGATAGTTATCAATGAATTGATAAGTAATTCGAATGAAAAAAAAATAAAATAAAAGAGAAGAACAAAGAAAAAAAGAAAAGGTTGATTTACCAATTGTCGTCTAAGTGTTGGCATAAATCTGACAAGTTTAAGTACAAGTAATAATCTAAATTTACGTAAAACTGATAATCCACATATTTTTATTTCCTTGTAATTCAATAAGACTCATGATAACAATAGCACCATCAAATAAATTATAAGCATTTTTAATATATTAAAGACAGCCATCAGCAATTATTTTTAAAATTATTTCAATAGCAAATAATTTTTGAAATTTGTTCCAATAAGATCATATATATTTATTCATATATATTGACATTTTTGACTTTCTTTTTAGTGTATTATCATCATCTTGTTCTTCATTAATAGTTAATTTCTCATTTTCAATATATTGACGATAACAATCACATTGATTTTCTTCCAGATATTTTTCTGTATTTTCAAAATCTAAATAATTTGATTTAATTGGTTGTTTATTAATCGATATATTATTTAATAAAATCGATAGAATAGAACTATTATCTTGATCACAGTAAAATGATGATGAATGTTGAATAATATCCATATTATCAAGATGAGCATTTGTTGTATGTATTAAATCTAATATATAAGATTGTTTAGGACTAGCAGCTGGTGCATCACCTATTGATGAAGATAATGATGCGCCTGTTCGATTTGATAAACTATCATCTATTTGATTATATCGACAATTTGATTGATGAATTATTTCTAGATTTGATAAGGAATATAAATTCAATTTAAATGAATTTCAATTGTTCTGGATTTATCATTTACAAGTTCTTTTCGGCGAGATTATTTTTTTTACCAATTAAACGTTTTTCTTTAACCTACTAACAAATATATAAAAATCTAGAACGTATTTGATTGTTTCATTTTCTATGGAAAATTTCGAATCTCTTCTTACTCTCTTTGCAAATATCTTAATGTAATTATAGAATAATTACATTAATCATCATGATTGTTAACTATTAGACTGGTTGTCTACGTAACGCGACACTTCACTGATCAAGTTTCGAACAAACTTTTTTTTTCGAGTTGGATAGATCTGAATAAGTAATTAGAGGCAGTTTTGAACACTGATTACGAATTTGACATTTATTTTGTACAAAAATTAGATTTTGGCATTGAAAATTGGGTTTTAAACTTTTGTAAAAATCGTATTTTGGGTTCTATAACCTAGAAATTTTTCTAAAAAAAACTGAGAACCATATCATTCAATGCAGAATTTCATTCTCTACAAGTTGATCTATTTAGTTTTGACTTTCGTAGCTAAGGAAAATTTGTAGACTCTTATACAGTTTCTAACTTATTCCGTCTCTTGTAAGCTTCTTCCATGTCGATATATCGATCTCGTTCTTGGGTAGAACGACTAGTTATACAGAAAATACGAACACTTATAAAAATGAAATCGTTCTGAGCATATTAAGTACCTCAAAATTGGCCGACAAAAACTATGTCACAGCGTAACGTTTGGACAAGCCGTAGAGAAAATCTTTCGATTCTCTGCTACTAAATATATATTTAAAAAAGTTGATTCGATCAACGATTAACTTGAACAAAAATTATTCTTTAATAAATTGTTTTTAAGCGTAATAAAAATATCGAATGTTATTATTGATAAGACAATAAACAATATTCGTCTATTTATATTGAATAAAACAACTTTATTGTTAAGATAATCGTTTAATATATATTCGAAGATTTTTTTAAAAGAATCTCACATTCTTTTCATTAAAATAGATTAACTAATTAAATTTATCTTAAAATATTTCAATCGATCGTTCTATATCAGTTAAATTCTATGAATAGAAATCAAAATAATTCCGATGTGAATAAATGATTTATCAATTTTGAAATCATTTATTAGAACTAAAAACATTCGAATAAATCTTCACGAATTCATATTTCATAAGATATGAAAGAATATGGACAGAAGAATTCAAGCAGATACTATTCGATTTGAAATAAAATAGTCAAATATTCAGTTAGAAGAAATGAGTCTTTTTTTTAAATATTTCAGGTGAAAAAAAAACATTGACTACTTATTTGTTTGATTTTGAAATGTCAATTTTGAAAAATAAAATAATTATTTTAATCGAATACTTTCGTATATAATTAAAATGAATAGAACTCGATTTAAAATAGAAAAATATAATATTATGATCTAATCGAAAGAGTATTTGCATTCAAATCTATTTATCTATATAGTTTATCCCATTGTATAACTAATCATTAATATACTGTTTAAAGAAGTTAGTTCGATTAAATAATTCCCTTGTCAATCAGAAAGAAAAAATCGGCCTTATGAGGAGTTCATTTGAGTAAAAATTTGTTGATTAATCTTACATTTTCACAATTTAGTTTATACTTTTTTTCCAAAAAATATTAATTTTTTTGTGTGAGTGTGAGACTAAAACTATTAATGATATTCTACCCCACACAT